ACCGATTACATTTCTATTATTTATACGTGTAAATACATGATACTTGGTTTTGTTAATAATATCTTCATGACGTCATTCTTCAAAGCTCAATACGGATTTCGAGTTATGAGAATATATATAATGATATTTTAACTCCAGTTAATTTGTAAGCTGTAGTAAACCGTCCGGACAAGGGCAGTGAGTTAAAAGACTCACCAGCATCGATTTACAAGTAAATTGTAGTGTTAAAGCTACCGACCTCTCTTCTTACTATAAATCTATATTGGGTCGGTAAATCTTATTGTTGATTTTAATATACTGTATCTGAACAAAGTTGAATGACAACTATTGTTGAAGTAATTAAAGTAATAGTTTTAATTAGATTATTAGAGTACTTTGTAAAGCGATTTTTTTCATCATTCAACTTTCAACCGTTTCATTTCAATGACGATCTATAGCGTCTTCAGTAACCTCACACTTTTGAACCTCTGTTCAAAACTTAAGCTTAAACATTTCGAACACTTGTAAATATCATTATGAGATACCATTTTTTTTCTGAGTCTTACAATCTCTTACTAAATTTTGCATATGATACAGTTATATTTTGATGGAGTAGAGCACTACTGACTTATGATAATAAGATATAATAAAAATTGGATCACTAGGATCCTGTAATCGTTTAGTTCGAACATCCAAACAGTAAGAAAGCGTTAATTGCGCGAGCCCAATAAAAAACACAATTCGAGTTTACCACCTTCTATTCAATTATCTTGTTCAGAGTCACAATCGTTGGACTTTCAAACGAAATATCACGATACAAATGTAAGTTACATACACTTGTCATGTAGTGAAAGAACTGATTGCAACGCAATGTTTAGAATTTCCGATCGTAAGTTTAATTCAGTAAACTGAGCCTTCGCAAACTTCTTTCTCCAGAATAATCACCTTTCTTGAAGCATTTAGTTTATCGGGTTTTCTCATGCGAAATTTATTCTTTCGTGTGGCAGTGTGATTGTACATGCTCTCTTAACTTTGGAAACTTTCGTGACAATTACATAGCTATTGGTGCCCAACACATTAAAGTAGAAGAAAGTCCTTACCGCTCCCCCCAAACTCTGATTACAGGAGGAGATATATATATATATATATATTTTACCCCTACCCAATTTTTCTTCGCTATCTTAGATTGACAAAATAATAACTTTACTTTTAGCATGATAAGTATTTTGGACTGCTGTTTATACTAATCTTTAATAAAAGTATTAGGTTTTCTTTGTGATTTAACAATAGAAGTGTTTCCTTCACTTGTCAGAGCTTCTTAATCATAGAAGAAAATAAAGTTGTCATGCTTAGTTTTTCAACAAAGTTAGCCATTCTTGTGTACAGCTGTAAATGTACTGTTGTATTTATTGTAATATCGCAATAATACGTTTGTTTATTTGTTGTTAAGCTCAAAGCTACACAATGGGCTATCTGTGCTGCGTCCATCACGAATATCAAAAACCCGGATTTTAGCGTTATAAGCCTTTCGGCTTACCGCTGAGGCACTGGGGGAGGGGGGCAATAATATTAAGAAAATAAATATATCTTATGGCTTTAACAGACCTTGCCTACATTATATTAAACTAATTTTGGAGCCCCACCACGTCATAACAATCCATGTCGTCACGTTTGGTTATGCTCTATCTGATGACTGTACATTTTGATAATAGCTCTGCAGCGTAGTTTCCATTACAAATGCTCCGTCGTAAAACGATCATGTCCAAAGCACATTACTCTTCCTTTCAAGCTTTGCATAATCCGTTTCAACCGACTGATTGTACAGACATCTATAAGCGCTGCGTCCTGTGAGTTGACCAGTATGTCTTCGTATAAAAAACATTAATACCCCTTTCGTTTTCCACTTCCATGAGGTGCAATGGTTTAACGATAAGTATGACTGGAAGCTTTATCTTGATGAGTTCATACAATGTTGCCCTCGTTTCCAGATGGAGACAAGTTTTTGATTATGTTGTATACTGTTTCCTTAGGCACGCAGACGACTTTTGCCACTGATCTTTGTGTCCATGGGTCCTCACTTTCCTTACTATGGCTAGTTACGACTTGTTGCAAAATTCTTTCTGGATGGTTCTGATTCCCAAGTTGATCCATATTACTTTATATTACAATGCCATTAAGTACAAGAGATATCCCCATTTTGGAAATTCTAAATTCCGATCTGAAAACATTCTTATGAACTGAGTTGAAGAATATCTTGCGTCGGAAATGCCTGTTACCTACCCTTCTCAAAATCGATCAATTTTTGATGGCATCACAGTACCTACGTAATGTCAAACAATGTAAAAAGGTAGTTCTGATACATAACGTTCCACTGCTACTTCAAATCGGCTATGGCTGTCACGTGACATATTCAAAATCGTTTGAATATAATATACTTAACCCTCTTAATATTACATACCCGTGAATGATTGTGACATGCTGTTTTCCTTATTTCTTAGTTCCGGCGGTGGACAGAGCGCAGACACCCCATTGTGTAGTTTTGCGCTCAAACAAGCAACTTTATTCATTTCTGATTCAAAATAATACATAAAAAACTAACAACAGAAATAAAATTGTGGGAAAAATTTTAGCTGTTTTTCTGTTAAATTTACTGATATATTAAATTGGTATCCATGGTACAATTATTGATATGTTGATTAGCTTGGCACTTCTACATTTTTCTAGTGCCATCTGATAGCCAAAAACGAATCACTTTACAATATAATTCTTCTTTCCTTTTTGAATTAATACCTTTGTTGTTTTGTGAGGTTAAATCGGCTAATACTTCATGAATACTGTATTATTGCTGGGATATGAAGGAGTTCACTGAACAGTGTTTTAATGTTCTTCTTCCTCTTTCAAATGTAATGTTTTGAAAACAAAATGGATAGAGTAGCAACACGAAAGTATGATCTACATTTTATCATATTCTCTCATTCCTTCCCGTTTTTACCATGTTTTTCTGCCTTTAGATATTATGATAATGTAAGTGAATTTGTTTCGTTTTTGTAAATCACGGACAGAGATGTCTTGTATTAATATTTCTGACAGAAAAAAAAAAAGTACAGAATGGGTTCTTTCCAATTTTACAAATGTGTGGAAACAATAACAAAAATATACAAAACATATTGTATTTTTGTAGCATTGGAATTTCAAGCGTCTGCACTTTTTCAGGTAAACTAATTAACTCAAGATACTTTTTTTAGTTTACTGTTGTAGTCTTCATAGTTTCCCATATCCTTTGCAGCAAGATAATTCCAGTATTAACTGTACTCATTTCCTACTCTCTTGGCCTAGTCAGGTGGTTAGTGTGCTCGACTCCCAATTTGTTTTCGGATCACGTTTCGAGTCCCTGTCCCACCAAACATGCTCGCCCTTTCAGCCATGGAGTTGTTATAATGTTACGGTCAATCCCACTATTCATTTGTAAAATAGTAGCCGTACATTGATTAGGGAGTAAGTACTGTAAACACGCTTAATACAAATTACATAAAAATGTTATTTTGCATCAATTACAATCAACGTCTTTCTACCATAACAAGAAATATTAATATAAATGCTCTACTTCATATCCCTGAAATATTCCCAATAATTAGGTCAGAAAAACTACAATTTTACAAAGAGTAGGGGTGAAGTAAGACAATGTTTCAACCTACTTAGTCTTAAAGCACATGACTCAGTTTGTGAACCACCTACTTTTGTACATTTTTCTCTTTACCTCGGTAGTGAATAACTCAATCTTGAAGCACATGATTCACTTTGTGAACCACCTACTTTGTACATTTTTCTCTTTACCTCGGTAGTGAATAACTCAATCGTGAAGCACATGATTCACTTTGTGAACAACCTACTTTGTACATTTTTCTCTTTACCTCGGTAGTGAATAATTCAATCTTGAAGCACATGATTCACTTTGTGAACAACCTACTTTGTACATTTTTCTCTTTACCTCGGAAGTGAATAAAATATTGCAGTTACTTATCATTATCACTGTTAATCTTCATAAAATGCTCTACCATGAAACTTTTTGTATTGTGAAGAGGATTAGAACTGATGATATCACCAAAGGTGACACAGAAGTGAATACTAACATTCTAGTTCTATATCTGGTAGATAGGCTTCTTTGTGGTCTAAACATTTCATGTAAATTACCATAGAGCTTTACCTTCTTATAGAGTGAGCACTAAGTGTTATTTCCCTTGGGTAAAATGAGCCATACAATATCATTGCAATAACTGAAATAGCCATAAATTTCACCTTTCCATCTTATTGAAGCATACTTAATAATATTTTAAAACATTTCCATGCAGTTTCTGTATATAGTTAATCACATTTGTATTGTCATGATGCCTCAAGATCATAGCATGTGGCAATCCTTTTGGCTTTTATGTTACACACCAGTATATCTGAATACCAAATTATCAGACACCTTAATTTTTCTCTATTTCTTTATGCTGACATCATCAATCACAGAATGTTGGCACATGCTTTCTTCTCTTTGTCACAGACATACAAGTGTTTTAAGAATCAAAATAATATGATGGCCTGCCTTAAAGAAAATATGGTGACTTTTTGAAAAGTTAGAAAGGATTAGGGGGAGCCCCAAAATGCAAGGCAATTTGTTAAGTTAGAGAATGGGGGTGAGCCACATTGTATCATTTTGGAATTTTGGCTCACCAAGAAATGTTTAAAATTTTCCTTGGATTATTTCACTCTAATAATGCATAATTATTGTTATTTTTTCTCTATCTTTCATTTGGGTCCAAAATGGATCAAATCATACACATGCTTATGATAACAACAACTGGGAACCAAAAAAAAAAAAGAACTAAAAGCTACACAATGAACTACCTTAACTCTGTCCACCTCGGGAAATCAAATAATGCATAAGAATTGTACAGATATTAATCTTTTACACATCAAACAATTTTTTTCCTAAAAACTTTTTTTAACTATAAACTCCCCCAAAAAGAAGAATTTTGTTGTATTAAATAAAATTTATTTAGTTCCTTGGGACATACAACACAAAGCTTACTAACTTATAATAAACTACATGGTATAACATCAACACCACAAAAGTTTCTTTTATAGACGAGTTAAATAGAGTATTCACGATGAGCAAATAAAGGTGAAACAACGAAGGTAGGAAGGACAATATTTCAAAAGCCTTCAGTGTTTCGTCTTCAATCCTCCGAGAACCTCTCTATAAGCAATACTAATTTAGGCAACCGCTACTCGTTTCACTTCTGTTTGTTCATCATATAACCTTAATTCATACTAAACAGTTCCAGAGATAATATTTTTTATTATAAGGTCTCAAATTTCATGGTATTTTAATATTAGCTAAGGAAATAGTAATGTTTTTGAAAAATAAAATTAAGATACATGTTTTCCGCCATAGATTCCACATTCATTTCCAAGATTTATTTTATTTGCAAAGGTACTTCACATATTTTGAAAGTTAATCTCAGACTTGGTGGCTTAATAACTACAAAATTTTAAATATACAAGGATTTCATTATGAAGGAAGGGCAAAACACAAAATGTTACAACAGTCAAATTAAAAAATTTGTACAAAAACAGAAACACGTGCAAAACTTGTGATATCTATCACAAAACTATCAGACAGATTATAAACAAAATTTATCAGGTAAGTATCTCTCTTTCAAGGTATTTTGAGATAATATTCGATTTTAAACCTAAGATGTGTTGGTAACACTACTTTCAATTTCATGAATGAAATACTAAACATAAAGTGCTTACTTTTTCTGAATCGAGCATGACTTAATGTTGTTTGGGGATAGTTAATTGAGGATAACATAAGACATTTTAATTCATAAACACCACAGTAAACTGACTTCTACATTCTGTGTTCATCAAATTAAGCTCATGAATAGATATTCGTATTTCAGAAATTACTGAAAAATAAGGAAATTGTGAAAACTTTATGCTATTCATCACCATCTTCCCAAACAATAGCAGCATACATACATACATATATCAATACAAGTTCATCAATTTAGATTTCAGTGTGCATTTATCTCTGACAAAAACTCTAGTAGTATACTCTTGATGTGAAATAATTAATGAAAAAGGCGAATAATGACATTAATCAATGATGTCTGTCATACCTTAATGGGTATTTGTTTTCTTTAAGCAGTTTTTTCTTTTGATCAATTTATTTTTCTTACTTTAAAAATCTTAACAAAATACAAAACATTGAATACATTGTTGTCAGTCACTATTAATCATGAAAAACAAAAAGCAAAAAATAATTCTCCAGCATCAGTGTTATTTTTTGTCTTACTATTAAATAAATGTTTTAACTTTTTGTAGTCATTCTCATAACTTAATTACTTGATTGTTTATATTAAAAGATACCAGAAAACTGAGAAGCAAAATTTCGTATGGTTATTTCTTGGGAATTAAATTTTTTAGCTGCTAATTGAAAAAAAAAAAAAAGAATATGAACAATGAATTACTACCATCATACAAAAGCAAAATAAAGAAGTGTTTTCATTTTATTGTTCTCTATAAAACAATAGTTTCAAATAGGAAAACATAAATAAAATGTTACAAGATTATGATGAATTGGTTCACCAATCGCTCACGTCTGTTTTCCTTCTTCAAAGTTACCACGATATGATCCACGATTCCCAAGTTCTTTAAACTGAATTCTGACTTCCTCCTTCACCAAGGTCACCAAAGATGAGCTCCAGAGCAGCTTGGACATCTCCTCCAGTAGTATGAAGAGCCCTTAAGCTTATACTATCATCTGAGATTCCCATGTCTCTCAGCTGCTGCAACTGAGACTAAGGAAGGAAAAAGGTCAAATCATAAGTCCAGATTGGTCAAATTATTTTCAAGAAAAGATTAAAAACACTGAGATGAACATGTCTAATATTAGATAGCAAATATTGCTAGTCCAAATATGAATATGAATACTTACATCAGCATTATCAGCAAGTCTTATCGTGAAGAACAGCTCTTACTTTAACGTTAGTAAAATGTATTATTACTCCAATTGTTGAAATATTTAACTACTTCTAGTATGAAGATTAGTGTTATTATCTCAAAATTAACAGTGTCTCACTATTGTGATAAGCAGATAACCTGGGTTGTTAAAAACTGCCTTACTAACAATACATAGTGGGTCAACTCATTAGCTCAGAATCAAATCCCAGGACATCTTGCATGCAAATTGAATGTTCTACCAAAAAGAGCTAAAAGGTTAAACTTTTAGCTACTGCTAATAGTAGTTCACAACAACTCAAGCTAACTGGTTAGCACACTACTCCAAGTGTAGAGATGAGCACTTACCTCCATATTAGTTGTATGTCTTACTACTCCAAGTGCCTGTTGCATGGCGTGATTAAACATTTCTGGTGTGATGACCCCTTGTGAAGTTGATGGTGTGCCTTGCCTTGGTGTTGATGTGGATGTAGAAGGCTGAGATCCATATCCTACATCACCTTGTCTACTTGGTGTACTTGCTAATGTAGCTAAGGCACTAGCAAGGTCATTTGAGGTTATAGGCACCTGTCCAAGTCCAGACAATCCTCGTCCAGTGAGGAAATTTGCAGCCTCATTAAACTAAAACCAAACAAAGCTAGGTTACTTATATAAACTTCCCAGTACTTTTACAGTTGGCTTGTGTAAGTACACGAACTCCTGATTTAGACAGTAGTAATTGTACTTTTACAGTTGGCCTGTGTAAGTACACGAATTCCTGATTTAGACAGTAGTAATTGTACTTTTACAGTTGGCCTGTGTAAGTACACAAATTCCTGATTTAGACAGTAGTAATTGTACTTTTACAGTTCACCTGTGTAAGTACACAAACTCCTGATTTAGATAGTAGTAATAGTACTTTTACAGTTGGCCTGTGTAAGTACATGAACTCCTGATTTAGATAGTAGTAATAGTACTTTTACAGTTGGCCTGTGTAAGTACACAAATTCCTGATTTAGACAGTAGTAATTGTACTTTTACAGTTGACCTGTGTAAGTACACGAACTCCTGATTTAAACAGAAGTAATAGTACTTTTACAGTTGGCCTGTGTAAGTACACGAACTCCTGATTTAGACAGAAGTAATAGTACTTTTACAGTTGGCCTGTGTAAGTACACGAACTCCTGATTTAGATAGTAGTAATAGTACTTTTACAGTTGGCCTGTGTAAGTACACGAACTCCTGATTTAGACAGTAGTAATAAAACATACTTCTCTTTACCAACATCCTTGAAATGTCTAAAAAAACAATTATTAAAATAAAAAAATAATGAGCAATATTAATAAAGAAATTACAATTTGAAGAGAAGATTAGAAATAGCATAACAAATAAACTGAAGTTGTAAAATTAGGCATAAAAGAATAAAGTAAAATATATTAGTCTACTAGTTAATGAATATGACATAACTATCAGGGAAGTTTTAAGAAGAGCATGCTGTACTGGATTTGAAGTTTTTACGAATTGTATCTGCCTGTAGTGGATGGAGTTTAAGTCTCTGCATTGAGACATTTGTCAGATACAGTCTTCCTTTAAATCTTGTAAACATAATCCAGTTTATAACTGCTGGAAGAGTCACAACAAACTGTGGAAGGGCTTCAATAACACATCAAATGTAAATCAGTAAAACAAAAAAGTTAAAGCTAAGCAAGCCACTACAATGGTGACTGTTGACTTTTCCATACATATTGAACTAAACCATATTTACAGTATTAAAATTTTCCTTATCGCAATGGTGTCACTACTATCCCTTGATAGTCTCTTACTCACAGTGGTAATACTTAACCATATTGCATCAAACTTTGTAAAAATTAGTAATTAGTATCTAGTTTCTATTTTTTACAAAATTCATATAAGTTGATTTAGTTTTTTTTATCACTTTTTACATTGTGAATTTCCAAAATTTTGTTGTGATATAATGTTTAAAAAAAAAAGAACACTAAAGACTTAATATGAGCATTTCAATTTTTTGTTGTTAATCAGGAAGTCCCATTTTATATATCCAGTCAGTTTAAAGTTGACTAATATTCTTCAACATTTTTTTTTGTACTTGATTTTTTCAACTGTAATGTCACCATATTAAACTAAAAACTATAAAAAACATGGTGAAAATTGGCAAAGATTTATCAGTGGCTTTGCACTTAACCTTTCAAAATGGTGTCTCACAATTACCCTAAGTAACAATATTTCTGCTAACAATAGTCTTGGTCAAGGTCAATTTATATCTAATAAATATAGCTTCTTTTATTTTTATGTATTTTTTTAATACAATAAACAGAATTATGTTCAATACATTAGGACTTGGGTAGCTGGAATATTTTTATATTACCTAGTGTACTTGCTACACCTAACTAAACTTACTCAATGTTTTGTAACAGAAGAAAATTTTTATAACTTTCAAACAAATATAATAAAACCATATTCAAAGATGAAAAGAACATCTAAAGAAAGTATAAAAACTTCTGAATTTGTGATTAGTTACTAATTCCTCTAAACCTGCCATTAATTTCTTTTGTGCCTATCTACAAGGGCTAGTTCCTTTCACTTCCCCATGAATTGCATACCATGTTACTATATTCATTCTACATAAAAATAAATAGGTTATAATCTGCTCTATTCAATGGTATTTAAACTTGGCCTGTAGCTCTTTTCAAAATTGTGTTTCATTATTTATTGTTAAGATTATATGCTGTGACATAATAAAAGTGGTGAAAATGAAGTGATGTAACAATAAACCTAATAGAAAGAAAATCACATGAAAAACAAAAAAATGAATTACTACATTCTCAAGGAATGATAGTTTCTTAGCAAATACAAACCTATGCTTAAGGATAGTCATAAAAATTATAATAAAAATATATAGCTATATTGTTTACAGATAAGGCTTTTGAAGCTGTGCAGAAATGAAAGTTTAAAATCCTTCATTTTTCTTTAGAAACTACAGTGAATGAAATGTTACAAGATGACTAATATCATTCCAAAATATTTTTAAGTTAAAAAGTATTGAAATAAAATTATAATTACTCAGAATTTTTAAATTTGATTTACAGGTGTGCACTCAACACCTGAAAGATGCTCTGTACTCCAGATATTTCATTCAACTAAGCAATCATCTATTGCAACACAGTGAATGGTAGAACTGTATCTTTTATATAAATTATGAAAAATAGCAACAAAAGTTATAATTTTCCTATACTGAAAATGCATTTCTGGTAGGTACTTACCTCCACTCATAGATATAGCTATTCTTGTTCAGTGCTGCCCTCTACATGCACAAATTTGTTCACATGACACAAGCTTGGAGCTCCCATGTACCCCACAATCAATTAAGTTCTGCATCTCGCATTTAAATCGCCATTCGACTATCCTGCACCAACAGGAGTATGACACACCCTCCTGATGCATGTGACTCCCTCTATTCGCTTCTACTGAACTATTACTTTGAGCTTTGGCAGAAAATGAAAGCACCAGTTTTCAGTGGGGAGGAAGGGTGGGAAATGTGAGAAGAGGTAATTACCTATTGGAAAAACATTTTCAGTATAGGAAAATTATAACTTCCGATATGGTACATTACCTCTTCTCACATATATAGCTAGAATCCCACACTGAATAGGTGGAGGAACCAGTGCAAGAGACAAAAAAGAAGCATCTTTTGAAAGCATCTGAAGAAAAACCTAAAAGGGGAGATCCTCGCAGTAGAGGATCATATGTGAAAGAGCACACCACTCACGTACCACGTACACTCTACGATCAGTGTGGAAAGAGGTGTTGCTGACATGGGCAGAAAATGGGAGAAACACGTCCAAAAGAGAGAGAACAATGGTTGGATATGGATCCAAACTACCTGATATCTGAATCTCAATCCCTTTGATGACAGTAATGTGAGTTAGAGTAAAAAGGATGTGTCCCAAGGTGTGGATTGGCTATGGCACGATGGACTGTACTTGGCAAATCAACTGCATCCAAAACGCAGCCACCGGGAACCGACATCCATGTGGGAGTAGGATGAGGATCATACTGGTGTCAAGTCAACTGCAATCCAAAAACCAGTCATTGGGTGGGGGTAGGAAAAAGGATCACACCATTTTCACACCAAGTTCATCAGACCGGAGGGAGATATCATGCCGACCAATCTGTGAACATGGCACATGTGAGCAAATTGATAATAAATTACCGATCCAGGAACCCGGCATTTAGACAATTGGAGTAATAAAGATGTATGTGCATTGTGCAACATCCCACTCAAAACCAATCAGACAGAAACCACCCCAGTGCAGTATCATACTCAGTATATGTAACTCTTTGAGGGGTAGTGCAACAGGAAGAACCATAGCAACCTTCATGTTCATCCACCGTGACCCACAACACACTAGCAATGAACATGAGGCCAGTTGTGTGAGGGAACAGAGACACCAGTAATACATGTTTAAGGACTTTTATTGATTGGTCCTGCTTTGAATCCAAAACCCAGCCATTGGAAACCAACATCCATGTGGGGGTAGGATGAGGGATCCCAATCGAAAGGGTGAATTGCAATTTTGATGGCTCACTCCAGAGCTACAGCATCCTCTTGGATAGAGCCGTTCAGAGATGGAGTGTCAGATTGGAGGACATCTCGTTATCTACACCAGCAGAACACCACCGCCCTACACTCAACTGAATGGATTCATTATTTTTGGTATCATATATCACATTCAGTTGGATGCCTCTATGACCCCCCCCCCCCAAAGGATTGGAACTGGAAAGTGGTAAGGACTCCCGTACTCCACTGAAAGAAAAAGGGGGAGAAAACACAGTGGAGAGTCCAAAGGAATGTCAACACCGGAGACAGTGCAATGAGTGACCACAAAAACCCTATTCTGAAAAGCCAACCACTCCTGATTTATTCAATTTAAGGAATGGGCAGCTATCCCTATTCTGCTTTACTCATGCATGAAGTACATGGGTTAGTATGGTCCAGAATGGGCATATTGATGAAGCAAATATATCATGAGGAATACCTATGAGCAATCTTGTAGAAAACCCCATTTCAACAGTGTGCATTTTGTGGCCATGGAAAATACAATTGTTAAGTCATCATGGCCTTACAGTGCAGATTGGACTAGTTTACATATACCTGGCCAGCCAACACTCACCACAGAGTTGGATCCTTGAAGAAAAAAAGGGACATACCCCAGAAAAATATAAGGTTATATAAAAAAAAAGGTAACTTACCCAGTCACAGTCTCACCAAAGAGTGAAGGATGGCAATAGGTGGAAGACAGTACCCTAATGAGGAAGAAACAGCTACTAAAGGGGATAATGTGAGATGAACATATGAGGTGTAGTCCCAATGCTTGATGGAATAAGTACTTCCAACGTATAAAAGGGGTGAGATGCAGGTAAAAGATAAGGTGTCTGATCAGAGGGAAGACATCAGGAATTGATTAAGGGAAGAAGGAGACAGAAAAGAAAAAGCCAATCGAATCAAAAGCTGAATCCAACAGGTATGGGAAAAGGGGCAAAGTCATGAACAGAGGAGTGGCGCCAGGTAACAAAACTACGAGAAAGGGGAGCAACAGAAAGAAGCCTTGAAGGCAATGAAGTAACCAAGTAAATGTACAGGACATAGAAGAACATCGTATCTGACTGGGAATAAAGGTGGGAGATGGAAGGAAACAAAAATGATGAAAAAAAGAACAACATGTAGGTTAGGAAAATCGATACAGAACAAAAAGAACAGATCGGGCTGAATCCAGGAAGAAGCAATTAGAAAGGCCTGACACAGAGTGGCATGAATGAACAAAATCACATGGGGAAGATGATGGTCAGGATGAGAAAAATAAAGGTATAAACTCGTCCCAATCTTGTCTAAATGCATTAGAGGGCAGCACTGAATGAGAAAGCTATATCTGTGAGTGGAAGTAAGGTACCGTATCAGAAATTATTTTTTGTGAATAATACACAGCAACTATTATCTATAATTAGGTATAGAAGTTTGAATTATGCCAAACAAAATTTATTTTCATGGAAAAATATAATAAGTACTTTACGAATGACAAAACAGAAATCTCAAAATATTAATTAACAAGCTATTTCATAAGATCTGAACATTCATAAATGTTGAATTTATATTATAAATCGTGTAAAAACCTCAATATTTCATTCTAAGGTAATTTTAACTTTGAGTGTAAAGTCTAGTTTTATCCTCATTTTGCATTATAAAAAAACACTATGTATATAGCTAGATGAATATAAGTTACTGAAAAATAAAATCACATTCTTCTTAGAATATCAGCATTACCAAATGTTTTCTAACCACTAAGAACTACATCTATCTATATAAGAACTACACAATTTTAACTATACAAACAATTATTCAGATATTTTAAACAACAGCATACTCTATCATGGTCATTCTCCATATCTTCATCATCACTCAAAGCATCCAAAGAATATGACACAGCTGACTGTAAGGTATCCATGGCCATCTGACCAGAAGCATTGTCTTCTTGAAAAGCTGCAGCAACTTGAGCAACAGCTTCAGGGAGAGATGGGTGATTCTCAACTAGTCTATTGTTTATGAGAACAGAATATAAAATATTATATAGTTCTCACTTCAAAACAAACACCAACTTCTTGTTCCAAAATAATGAAACTAAGTTTAAACCTAAAGTACTAGTCAAAAGTCTGTGCTCAAGATATCAACAATTAAGTTTCATGAAAGTTTGCAAAGTGTTTTTTTTTGTCCACACCTTATATTTATGCTTAGAATTACAATATCAGGCAAAAGAAGTTCATTTTAAAACAAAACATCGAATAAACAAGATTAAGTAGGTCATCCTGTAGCCTAAACAACACAATAGCTTTGATCGTGTATGGAAGCGACTAGTTTTATTAGACTGTCAACTGATATTTCCTTCTTTTTTTCTCTGGTGTGTGTGTGTGCATATATATATATATATATATATATATATG